GTCTAGAACCGATTAACTGTGATAAATGAGGGTTCACTGTATTTCTCAGCTGAGGAATCTCACACTCCCTTTCTGTATCCCTACCAGTCCTCCCCTAGACTCAGTCCCTGGCTCCGGGGTGTGAGCAACCTCTCTTGGGCAGCTTTGCATCTCCCAGGGGGAGGCGGTGGGGAGGTGAGCAGGGCCAGGCAGTGTTTCTTTCTGTTCTGATCAAGTCCCTGTGGATCAGAAATGGCACAAGGACACCTAACAACAACCACCAAATAGAAGTGTGATGCTTGCTGTTGTGAGGTGCCTTTGAGTCGGTTATGAACCACAGGAACGATATGCACAACAGAATAAATCACTTCCAGTCCTCAGATATCCTCACATTTGTTCTTCAGTGTGAGCTCATTGTTGCAGCCATTGTGTTCATCCACCTGGTTAAGGGCTTTCCGCCACCACCACAACTCCGCTGTCCTTTCCTTCCCCAAGCATGATATGCTTCTCCCGGGACTGGTTTCTCCTGAGAACATGTCCAAAAGCACGTGAAGGAAGGCCTGGCCAGCCTCACCTCGGAGCAGCATTCAGGACATACTTCTTCCAAGATAGATTTGTTGGTTCTTTTGGTAGCCCGGGAGTCTTTCAATAATCTTCTCAAGTACCCCAGTTCAAAGGTAGATTTTTCTACTTCTGTCTTCTATATTCAATGCCCATCTTGCACATGCACATGAGGCAATTCACAAAGTCATCACATGGGTAAGGAGCACCTTCATCCTCAAAGAAATACCGTTGCCTTTCAATACTCTACAGAGGTCTTGTGCAGCAGGTTTACCCAGTGCAAGGCAACCTTTGATTTCTTGACCGCTTCTTCCATGGGCATTGGTTGGAAGTCCAAAGAAAACAGAATGCACACAGTATTCATCTTGCTGTTACCCGTTGGTCCAGTTGTGAAGATTTGGGTCTTGTTGACATTGACAATGAGTTGTAGTCCATACTGAAAGCTGCAGTTGTTGACCTCCACCAGCAAATGCTTCAAGTCCTGCTCCCTTTCAGCAACCAAGGTTGTTCATGAGCCTTCTTGAAATCTTGACACCACATTCTTTTTCATATAACCCAGGTTCTCTGATTATTTTCTCAGCACACAGATTGGATGAATATGGAGTCCTTTGCACATCTGCCCTGATTTTAAGCCATGCAGTGTTGCCCTGGCCGGTTCCAACAATGAACTCCCTTTGGATGCATCCATGCACAGGTTCCCCATCAACACAACGATGTGATCTGGAATTCCCTCTTTTGCCAATGGGGTAGTTTTCATAATCGCTTGTCAATTTGAGAGGATTACGAGTTAAGTCTAGCTGGTCAATCATTGGATAACCAATGAGGCCTCTGTGTGAGCATGACCTTCCCCGGAGGATTCTGGGAACTCCTGATTTTCCTCCTTGGACCAGGGAGAGACACACACTCTCTCCCTTTCTCTCTGCTCACTCCCTTGGAAACTGTCTACTGACAAAACTCACTCCCTGAGAGATGCTCTACTGACAAAACACATGGCACTACGCTGATAGACCCCGTGTCCTGGGAAATGGAGGATGCACGTGAAGACCCCTGCCAGCGCTGAGATGCTTACAACCCCACTGGATCCACAAAGCTTCCACACACTTGCCTGTGATCTTCCTGCATTCAGGGTCATTGAAGGTGTTTAGTGACTTTATAGGGGGCTTTATAGATTGGTATTTGAAATATGGGCTAATATAGGACTTACAGACTTGATATGCTCTGGGCTGGAATGTTTTCTCAATATTCAACTGCTCTTATATAAAAACCTCTTTCTTATAAAATATGTGTGTCAAAAAATTTGTTTCTCCAATCTACGCAGAATAACACAGTTGTCTTTTCTTTCTTACTCTCTATTTTTTATATGTTATCATTATTATTTTCTTTTCTCTGTTTCTGTTTGGTTTCCCAAGTTATGAATCACAGAAGGAGTGTATGCACAGAGACAATAACTGAGGCAATGATGCATTAGGGAGCAAAGTGGAAAGAGTTAGGGGAATGGGGGAGCACACAATGAATGTGAAATGTGGGATAGAGCACAAAAGCAGGTTGTGATGATGTACAAAAACCAAATTTCAATGTGACTTTGGTATGGAAGCATATGTTATGTGAATGTTACATCAAGAAAAATTCCAAGAAAAAAAACGCCAAAATTGACCACTGGTTTGCAGGGTGAAGGAGTGTGTTAGTCTGGCTAGACTAGAGAAACAAATCCATAGACACATGTGTATAAGACAGAGCTTGATATACAAGTTGAATATTAAGATAAACTCCCAACCCTCTAGGTTATGTTCTGGGGATCTGCGTTCTGTCACAGGTATATATCGCAGTGTCTCTTCAAATGCTGAAAAGTAGTGACTAATTATCATACTCCCAATGGCAGATGTGGAGCTGGGGAGACGAGAAAGGGGGATGGCCAATATCGCCACTCCGTTCTTGGTTGGGGAGGGAAGCTGGAAAGCCCTAGACTGCGGGAGCAGGGAGGACAGCAGAGAGAGGAAACTCCGCTGTGATGTTTTGTGGCCAGATCTCAGAGGCTGTCCACGAGCCTCCGATTAGCACCATGGATGTTGGTTGCAGGAGAGTGTGGAAGATGCCATCCTGCTTGACCAGGTAAGGGGTTAGTGGTGTGAACAACCACACACACACTCATACAAAAGGAAAGAAAGAAAGCCTAAGAACAATGACGAATTAAAACAGAAAAAAATGTCAATGGAAAAGATGTGCCTTTGTATTCCTGTAAAGGGTTATAGTTTGTGAAAATCACAAGAGTACCAGCAGCCTGACGGGTGCGCTTTGGATTTTGAGTCGTTAGATTTGTAAAGTTCCCCTCTGACCTGTAGGGGCGCTATAAGTGGAGTCTTTGGGAGAAGCTCACTGAGGGGCTTCTGAAGCTGACATCTACCAGCAGGAGGCGCTTGTAAGTGAATCATTGCACACAGTGCCACTTGCAAGGGGGTTGGCCAGTGTAGTCCATGTGGATTGGTTGCTTTTTAAGCAAATCGGGTGTAAAATTTCCACCCAATAGGATTAAGTCACGTGGTTATAAAAGCAGCCATCTTGTCATCATAACCTTCACTCTGATGAAGAAGATATCCTATTCCTGAGTCTTGGACTTGGGTTCTCAGAGCTTCCTATACTATGGTGCAATACTGAGCTGTAGCCACCATTGGAAGCTGGAGAAAGGCAGCTTGGTGGGCTTTGGGCTTGTCTGGGCGCAGATGCTGTGGGCTCGTGAACTCGCAGAGTCAGAGACCTGATCTCTCTTGCAGGTTTCCACACAGGACCAAAGAGCTGTTTACCCCTTTTCTGGTACCCTGCTGACGGGCTTTGACACATTGAGCACCTGTCAACAAAGCTGAAGGGAGTTGCTGTCTCCGGAGCGTGCGGCTATGGTGGCGGTGATGAAATACACTCTGAAGGCTGAGAGTATGTATCTGCAACCATCGAAATAAAACTTTTGTTGAAATTTTGCAAATTAATGGCTGTACTTCATCTTGTAGTGAGCCTCTGTGCCAACTAGTGGCTGGGTCTTCAGGGGAGGATCGAATGGCATGCCCCAATGTGGCCATAGGGGGCGCTCTGCACCCCCGCACTGGGATCCCAGGAGGCGCTCAGGGGCAGGGCTGGCCAAAGAAGCATTTCCAGGGTCAGAGCCTGTGTCCTTGAGCAGGGAAACAATCATGCGACTTTTGGCCCTCTGTGCAGGTGCACTGGGGTCCACATGTGGCTGAGGGGAGGAGCTTACAAGATCCCTTAAGAGATCAGTGGCTCCTTTAGCGCTCTGGGCAGATTCGCAGGTCCCGGAGATGCCATGCGGGCCTCAGGTGCCAGCGCCAAGGATGTGTGCGGTGATTCAGCAAGTGCAGGGGATGGCCAGCCAAGTCTGTACCACCCTGA